TTTTCAGGTTCAGCGGCATTGATTTCTTTGATTTTTGGGTTCAAATCTGTTGGTAGTTGTTCTTCTGGGTGCTCGGGTTAAGGTCCCTTCGGTGCAGCTATTTGGGTCTTGCCCCTTGTGCCTTCTTCTTCCCTCGTTTAGGGACTGGAATCTTAGATGTGGGCTAGAGCTTGTCTTTCTGTTGGTTCTATCTAGCCATTCGGTGGTTTTGAGTTCTAGAGTTTGTATATGTAGATCCTTAGGTGCCGATTGTAGGTTGATTTGTTGTGGGTCTGACTAGCCGGCTTGAAAATGGTCAGGCGCGCGTTGTCCGCGTTATTTAATGGAGGTATTAGTCTATAGATAGCATAGGGTTTGATTGTTTATGCAATAATTTGTTCAAAATGCGTTATTTTAATTAATCATAGTTAATTTTGAAAAATGTGGTATGGTTAGTTGTTAGTGGAATTTTAAGAATGTATTAAAATAATATTTAAATTAAATGGTTAAAATTGATGTGATGTAAAAGTACGAGATAAATGATTGAAAATGATAGGTAGTTAAAAGTATGTGAGTGGATAAATAGCACTGTTCTAAAAATCGGCCTAGGCGCCCGCCTAGGCGGCGCCTAGGCGCTAGGCGGTGCCCGGGCGCCTCCGATTTGCACAAATCGGTAGAAAAAATCGGCCAGGCAGCTAGGCGGCGCCTAGACGGGCCTAGGCGGCCCTAGGCGCTCCTAGGCGGCCTTGGCGGGCTCGGCGGCCAGGCGGTTAGGCAGCGCCTAGGCGGGCATAGGCGGACCTAGGCGCTCCTAGGCGGGCTCGGCGGCAATTTTTCAGTTTTTTTTTTTTATTTTTTTAAATATTAGTTACATTATTTGTTCTCATGTTTTCTTTAAAGTAAATAAATTTGATTATTTGATCTTAAGTGTGTCGATATATTATAAGTTGAGATAATTTTATTTTGTAGGTAGTTCAAATAAATAAAAAATAAGGCATTTAATATTGATTTCTAGGCCCCGACTAAGCGCCGCCTAGGCCCCGCCTAGTCGCTCTAGGCGCTAGGCGCTGGTCGAGCGCCTAGCGGGCGCCTAGCGACTTTTAGAACATTGATAAATAGTGAATTAAAATTGATGTGATGTCTAAAAATGATTGGTCTATATTATTTAATTTTATGAATGATATTAAAGATAGTGAATTTAGTTAAACTTGAGTTAGATTTTAAGTATGAAATAAATGTGAGTAAAATAATCATAAACAATCAAGCCCTTAGGTGTGTGTTTAGTTTGTTAGTGTATTTTTCTCTCGTTTTTTTTTTAATTATTTTTTGGAGTAGATTCTCCACTAGTTGGAATTGTGTTTGCTCCTCATGGGTGTTCTTGTTTTGTGTGGAAGTAGACGTCCAACTTACGATTTCAACATTCGTCTTCAGACTGCTGCAGGTAGCTTGGTACCCTCTTCCGGGTTTAATTTCAATCTAAGACACTAGAGTTAGTGCTCCTCCTTCATTCTACTCTGTGTCTAGCTAGCCTACGATCTGATTATTCCCCTTTTGAGTAATACAATCTATCATTTCGTCTAAAAAAAACAAGAAAAAAAAAGAGGCCTGGTCACTAATTAAACAAATTGTCGGAGAACACATCCCACCCCCTATCATTGGCTTGCTGCTCTACACCCCCAAATCCTAATTTTTGCCTACAATCTACCACAACTAAGCATAATGCAACATTCAACGATCCACTTTATAACCCCAGGCACCAAATCGCAAGGAATTGCAACCGAAAACTCCACAAGTTAATGGATTTGCTAACGACATCCACAACCCTCTATCTCCTTCAAAGGCAATCGCCACTAGCCGCGAGTTGCATTGCAACCCTAAAAAATTAAAAAAACCATGCATCCAAACATCAGAATCATCGATCTAAGAGAAATTAAAGAAGAAAGGACGAAGGTCAGATCTTCCAGCTGCACTTCTAGCTTCACAAAGAGAAACAACTCTCTCTCTCTCTCTCTCTCTCTCTCTCTCTCTCTCTAAACAAATATGTTAATGGAGAAAATAATGGGTCATATCCTATTATATAAAAATATAAACAAACAATGTTAGGCCCATCAAAATTCAAATTTAACTCAACCCCATTATATCATATTATCAATATAATTAAATAATTTCAACCAATCATTCTTACACATCACAACATATTTCTTCTACTTTACATAAAATCAACTTTAATTATTTTATTTAAATTTATTTTAATATATCCACTAATAACTAACTATACCACCTTTTTTTTTTTTTCAAAATTAACTATAGTTAAAAAACAAACCAAATAAAAACTAGTTGAATCCAACAATCACCCCCTTAATGTCTTCGGTAGACTTTAAAAAGATAGTGGGATGGGAAGATGGGATTATATCCATAGCCCAATACGTCAATGCAACCCAACAGACACTTAGACAAAAAGACGAACTGATGATGGATCCAACAAAAGACGAACTGATGATGGATCCAACAAATGACGAACTGATGATGGATCCAATCCAAGTCTGATTTATTTGACAAGACACGTTAGTGGGCTCCCAAAATGCAATGTCCTCACATAAAATGGGTAAACATCTAGGAATTCATAAGAATTGCGCCAATGAACAATTGGGTAGTGTCACATAGTCACATGCATATCATACCACAGGGCAACCGAACCCTATTGGAACAAAAAGCAATGTTTGGGAAACCGAACTGCCACACATAGGATCCCGTCAATTTATTTCACACAAGTGGCCCCCCGGATTTGAATCCCAAAAATTAAGTCATGATTCAGTATAATATGCGTGAAAATCAAGAACCTTAACCCACGATGTTCTGGGCGAAAGATAGGCCAACTGGATAAGACCGGTGGATTCTCATTTTTGTTGCAGTCACTTTCTGGGCAGAAATATTATCAACACCTTTTCCATCCTTAGTTGAAGTTGTTTTCTGTTTAGCACTCAACTCATCATTTCCAACAATGAACTGAAGCCCCTGGATATTGTGATACGTTTTGTACACATTGTTAGCCGAACAACTTGTATAATCTACATACAGAAAAAGACAATTACAAAATTTACTTACCTTTACCTTCTCCCCCTCTGGAATCACAGTTGTCCTGTCTATTAGCTTTACCCCAACATCCTGAGAAATAATATTTCATCAAAATACAAAATGCAGGACTAAAACAGTAAAAACCAATCCAACTGATCTACTTAAGATTTGTGTTCATCAAAACAAGACGAAATATTTTTGGAGAAGAAGAAAGAGTGAGAACCTGAATAACCTTAGAACTCGGACTGTCTTGGATATTTCCTGCCACTCGGCACAGATACCACAAACCTGAATTTGTCATATCCTGCAGTACCATTAATGAAAGTATTAAAGATCTCATCCTTGCAGGGTACTATATTTGTAAGTTGGGGTAAAATTTGAAAACTCAGTACCTGCTTGTTTTCAAGAAGCTCGATTTTTCCTTCCTGTCAGTTTTAACCAGGTCAAGGCCCATCATATCAAGTCATTTGATCATCTCGAGTTATAATAGAACAAAATTTATATTACAGAAATTTGCTAACATACCAAACCAGACAACATCTCCTGGATCGAATTAATGTCATACCCTATTTGATTAAGATCAGACCTCACTTCAGTAACCTGCAATATCAACAAAGATTAGAGCTCACAAATTTTTTGGTGACTAATAAAGTTATCTTCATTCCTGGAGCCTCAGTTGCGGAAAACATAACATTGAGCACGTATCATTACAGGCATTAAGTAGTTAGTACTTTCGTAATTGCGTAGACATGGCCACAGCATATTCATTTAGGCTCAATAATACATATGAAATGATGAAGCCAGACCGAAAGTAACTCATAGTATGTTCAACCAAATATGTAAATACAAGAACTAATGTTGTACATACATCACTGGAAATAAGTTTTGATATTTCCCTCTGCTCATCCAGTTTCCAATCCAGGTTTTCCAATCTCTTTGTCAGGTGCTTCTTTGTTGACTGCAAAAAGTAAAATGAATTGGTTGATAAAGAACACAATACCTTTAGAAGTAGAAAAGAACAAAAGAAAGACGACGTGGAGGTTTTTAAATGTTTCCTAAATTTTACTAACAGATAATGCTTCTGAAACGTTCTCTAACTGCTTTGACACGGTTGCAACAGCATTTGCCATGTTACTCTTGGTCACAAACATCATATCCGAGAATGACCATCCCTGCAGGAAAAAAAGGCAAAGTGAACCAAAATCAGGAAAAGAAAGAAAAAGGCTCAAGAGTCAGAAATAAGTCTTACCTTCCACCGCATGTAACAGTACCCCATAGCACCCAAAGCTGCTGTAGGCAATATATATGATGCACAGCTTCCTGCAGAAACCAGAGACAATGTAAGATGATTTGAATATAATGCCTCAAATTAAGTGGAAGTTGAATGTAAAAGAAATGTTGGTAAAGCGCAGAAAAATATAAGCAGGTCCCTTAACCGCTGTCCTTCAGAAGATACTAGAGGCTCAATTCACCAAACCTTTATAAATCCCATATGAAAAAGACTGAATCTTGCCAGAAATCTCATATATCTTATGTAGGTGCTGATGCTATATGAGGTACATAACTGCTAAAGATCTACATTCTCTACAAACAAACTTAATGAAGTGAACAAAAGTATTATTCACAACCTGGGAACAAGGACAAACTACTCAATTTTCTACTACGCTTTAAAATATAGCTTATGGTTAAGTGATTCGAGTTTCCAGAAAGATGCTCTTGTCATCTTAATGAGGGATTTCCAGTTGTAATTTTGAGAATAAAGGATCATCACGAGCATTCCTATCCGATTCCTGAACTACGCTCGTTGAGCTTATAAATTTACAAGATCCTTCTTTGGATATTCAATAGCTCTAAATTTCAGATATAACATGCTCTCCTAAAACTCAACATTAACAATCTTATCGAGCTACTGAAAGTATATGCAGCGGAATACTAGGGAGTCAAGGAACGGCTCAGAATTCATGGCTGCACTCTAACTATAACGTAAAGTCTCTGAAAATACCAACTTCTCAAAATAGTACCAACAATAACAATTCTAATTCAAAAATTATGATGCCAATAAATTGATAGTTCTTTTCCAAATAACGTTAAATTACATGCATGTAAGATTGAGAGTCTAGGTTTTTACTATAATTATGATAATATTCCATGTATCAATTTGTGACATCACAAATGTTTGAAACAAGACGCCAGTTTATGAACTTATCATATGCACTCTATGGAAGCACATTTGTGAGGTTGGATGTGGAGAACCTCTGGTTATGCAGTGCAGTTCAGACATCGGCACTAAAGTTAAGAATGATACGCTAAATTAAACAATCAAAACATACCGCTGGAGGATGAATTCCCATTAAATACAGTGACGGGATTGGATAAACTTAACTCCTTGATTTCTTTAGCCAATTGCCGAACCTGAAGGCAAGCCATTGAAGGAAACATGAGCACTGAGCAGTAAATATAGTTTAATAACATCCTCTAGTTCTTATTTTATGTATATATAATGCAGCATATTCCCAACACTTGGGGAGAATGAGAAAGAAAATAAAAATCCAAACATATTGAAAAGTTAGGGGCAGGTTAGAGCACCCAGATACTCGATCTTACAAGCAACAGCATAAAAGTAGTAATCCAGAACATACATTTTACCTCTATCAGAAGAAAAATACATGAAGCGAGTTCACATTTTACAACTCAAAAATTACAGACTTGTTTAAGCCTCCGTTAATATTCAAGAAGCATCTTTAAACTTCTGTAAATAAATTTCCCTCTTCCTTTTGATATTAGTTATATATAATATCTCGTCTTTATAGTCAAACAGATCTATTCTTTTTACACATTTGCCTACAATTTACTAAGGTAATCTCATATTAAAGAGAATATCTTTTCTCATTAGAATTTTGAGAAGAATAAAGAATAACCGTTGATGCTTATGATATGTGCTTCTAACGGCAAGCAGAAGAAATGTTGATGTAGATAAATTGTACGTGAATTTTTATTCAATCTTTTCCAGTTAGCTTGGAGTTTAAACTGAGTCCAATTTTGAATCCAAGTAACTTCTTATAGAAGAATGAGATGCATGCACCAATAGCACAATAAGAACCAGGTATTAATATGGGATTCTGGAACCCCCACTACCCAAGAGAATATTGCAACATTATACAGTCAGTGCTATCCTAAACAAGTTATAGCTATATAAGTTATCAGGTTGTTGAATTCAATTTCAAGGGAAGCTCTAATTACCAATTAATTATAATCTAATGACCTTGAAGCAGATTTGAAATGTTAATGCAGTAAAAGTTGGAGCTTAATAAGGTTCCATAGCCAACAACACTAACCTATACTCACATACCCCACCCCCAAGTCCCCTTCATAATATCACAAAAAGTAAAAATACTAAGGGAGAAACACAATATATCCATGTGGTTTAGCATTGTGAAATTTAAGATGTCTGACAATGACTGAACTTGTGAGATATGTATGAGACGCATTTCCTACCTGAGCAGCTAAAAATGCGGCATCATACTTCCCGGGTGATGCTTCAGCTTCATTTAAAGTTTTTATCAACACTTGAAGATGAGATAGCAAATCAGATATACTCCCGCTCCTCAAGATGATAGATCCAGTCGCACCTGTTTCCAGCCATTTTTTATGAAAAAAATCATTGTTTCATTAATAATAATAATATAATTATTTCTCTTTAGGATTGCTAACCATATTATAAATAGCAGAATACATCCAAATCCAGATAAAAGTTAGGGTAATGTATTTATTTTGTGCCGCTAATTGTCCTTTCTGAAATTAAAGAACATTCCAGAGACTAAGAAATGAATGCCATGTGTTACTCTAGTCGATTCACCTATGTAGCACACAACTAACAATAAGCATTAGTGCAGTGCATGAGCACGAAAAATAAATCACTGGCACAGTCAATTTTAATCTCATACAGATTATCCCATTTGTTCAACCCTAAACAAAACAATACAAGAGAAAGTCGTAACAAGGATAAACGTTTATGTGTAACGAATCCATATCAAGAAATCAGTACCCAAATATCTTCTCCGTTTAGCCACTACACAGAATTTTCCACAGACCTCTGGATCACATAAAAGACACTTTTTCCCCTCAGTACTATTAGCCTATGACCCTCAATTCTTCAAGCTCAAACTTCAGCTGTGAGGATTGCTACATATACGTATCCAGCGAACTCTAGATCAACTGGGGATATAAGGGGGATGAATAAACTGTGAAGCCTGATTTGAACTTCCGGTACCCGAACGAATTCAACCGTAACAAACAAGCTAAGCATATAATCGATTACGGCACTTCACACCAGTATGCTAATAATCAAAACCTATCGACGACACCAACTTAGTTCGGATTAATCCAATTAGAGAATACCAAAAAAAGAAGTTAGAAGTCGAAGGAATTCTTCAGACCCAAATGGGTAACGCTTGTATAAAAACATTCATAAAACCGCATAAATATATGATAGGAGAGAGAAACAGAGAGAGAACCTGCTGCTCCGACGAGAACAAGGACCTTAGATGCAGCGACGCCGCTTTGCATCGCCATAGTCTTGTTTACATTAAACTTTGGAGGCTGAACTTTCCCCTCTATATTTTTCAACAGTTCTCTCGCTCTCTCTCACATTGAAATTTACCACTATAATGGCCTATAAAATGGATAAGAAAAAAAACACTGTATATTTTTATTTTTATTATTATTTTTATTTTTAACTCAATCCACAATAATTTCAAAGTTAATCATCTTTACTTTGAGGTGACTAGGGGTATGTTTGGTAAAACTAGCTGATAAGCTAGCTTATAGCTTATATGTAATTTTTGAGCTTATAGCTTATAGCTTATGACTTATAGCTGAAAAGCTAGCTTATATGATAA